TGCCCTGTAAACTTTCACTCAATCCACAATAAAAACCTTAAATTAAAAAAAAGAAAAGAGAAATCTAGGGTCAGAACTAGGGGCAGGCAGGGCCCCCAAAAGAGCAGCAGTGGTGAGGCCCATCTGGAGGGGACAGTGGAGGCTATGGAACTGGGTCCAGGGACCCTAATGTTGGGCACAGTCCAGACAGAAAACACTCGTGGATATTCTTGCCATAGCATGAAAGAGAGTCATATGAGGGGGGTCCAAAAAGTTAACAGAAAAATGAAATAAAAAGAGAATGGAATTTCTCCATGAACTTTTTGAAGCCTCCTCGCATGTGAGAAGAGGATTTCATAAGGTGTGACCAGCTCTTGTGTAACGTTTTCTAGGGAGGACAACTGGTGGCCGTGGTTAGAGGGGCAAACGCCCCACTGCTGCAGAAAACCATCCTGGACCAGCTGGCGGCAGAGGAGAGGGTGCTGACTGAAGGCAGAGAACGGACAGTGGTAACCGGGGGTCATTCTACAAGCAGCAAATTCTCAAGTGTGCTCACATGGCAGGGCCAGTAGGGTTTTGAGTGTCCACTCCCCTCTGCCCCCTGTCCCCACAATTTTCTGAAACTACTGTGGAAAGATTCTTAAAATTCTCACGCTGGATTTACTCTTCACTCACTCAGAGCTCAGAGGAGTGCGTAATGCCCACTATGATACATAAATATTTTGAAACTTTCTTTTTAAAAAGTCTCCCCTTTCATCCAGACCCCTTTAACTTTTCTTATCCATTTTGACTTTCACCTGGTGCTTCAACTCAACAGGGCTTTCTGGAATCTTGACAATGGATTCAGAAATAACAGTAAAGTAATAGAATCCAGTAGAGAGTCAGAAAGTCAGTCATCTGGGCTCCCTTCAACCTCACTGTGAAATCTCTCCTTGTGACCCACCCTTACATCACAGTCCTGAAGGTTTTGCTTGTGACTTTAGTATAGACACCAAACTCTGTCATTATTAAGAGAAATAGGATCTGCAGAATCTGTGACTTTGATAAATTATTTTCTTGATAACCTGGATTAGAGTTTTCCACAAATTATTGGTTATCTTTTCTTGTTCTTTTCTTTGCTAAATCTCATAATCCCTTGAAAGAAGTCATCTGATTTGATCTCTCAGCAGCATTTGGTGGAGGTGACCCTCTTTTCCTGAACTGCGCATCCCTAGCCTTCTAGGATACCACACACTCCTGCTTTGCCACCTCCTTGCTGCCCACTCTCCACCAACTCTGTCTCATTTCCTGTATTTTAGGATTCAAGACACAGCCAAACAGTGTTTGGGCTTGAGGGCTAACACTGACTTTCAATTCTGTCTTGACACCAACGATCACATTTATAGTTCTGTTCTCCCTGAACTGCAGACTCAACTCCACTTGCTTACTCTAAGTCTCACTCTGGTTGTATAATGGGCATCTCACTCACCTGGCTCTGAGCCTCTGCTAGAACTTGCTCCTTTTGCATCTTCTCATCTCCTTAAGTTGCAATCTTTTTTTTACTTTTTATTGTGAATTGGATCAAGATTTACAGAGCAAACCAGTTTTCCATTCAACAAATCATACACATTTTGTTTCATCTCCTTGATTGCGATCCCTTATAATTTAATATCACTTAATCCACTTTTTCCCTGTGTTTCCTGTTTCCATTCCTCTTCCTTTTCGCACTCTTCTGAAATTTGTCCTTGGATAAATGTTGTCCTTTTGATCTCAAATGGTTGATTATTCTAAGGAGTGCAGATCTCCATAATATTGTTTCCGTTACAGACCTGTCTATTCTTTGGCTGAAAATTGAACCATAGGGGTGAGTTCATTTCCAGACCTGAAAGGTGACTAGCAGCCATACTCTCAGGAGTGCCCCCAGTCTCTAGCCAACCAGTAAATCTAGTCTTTTTGTGATTTTTGAGTTTTGCTATACATTTTTCTCCTACTCTGCCTAGGATCTGCTAATGCAATCGCTTTCAGAGTAGTTAGTAGTGGTAACCAGGCACCGTCTACTTCTTCTGGTCTAAAGGTGGTAGAGGCTGAGGTTTGTGTGGTCCATTAGTCCACTGGACTAATTGTTTCACTGAACCACCAATTTTCTTCATTCTTTACTCTGGGTGGGGAGAGACCAATAGTTGCACCTTAGATGGCCACCCATGAGCTTTAGAGATTCCAGTCACTACTCACCAAAATAAGATGTAGACCATTGTCTTTGTAGACTATGTTATGCCAATTAGCTTGGTGTCTTTCTAGACCATGGTCCTGAACCATCAAGCTATTGGTTTTCTTTTAAAACCAACACACCTGAGACAGAAGCACTTCCTGGCATGCTCAGTGCCAGGTGAGCCTAAGTATTGCTCAAGTTTCCATACTCGCCTCCAACTAGCAAAGTCCTATTTTCGTAGACTGGGTTAGAATCAAATCTTCTGTTTCACCAAGAATACTAGCAGTATTCCCCCAAGAAAGAAAATTGCGAATGCTTACATTTTTATGTGCTCCATCCAGGGGAAAAGTCTCTCTTTACTACTACTACCCTATATTTTGTGGCACTATGGGTTAATGCGCTGGTCTGCAAAGTCGATTTGAACCACAAGGTAGGCGGTTCAAGCTCCCTAGCTGCTCCCTGGAAACCCCCCCTGGAAACCCCATACAGTATCACTATGGATTGGGACTGACTTGATGGCATGCCACAATAACAATACTTTGTTTATTGATTAATCCTTACTTGCATTTCCATTTTCCACTGTCTTCTTGCCAGTTCTCTGTTTTCCCTTAGTTTTCTATCTGATGCTCATGAAATCAGGAATAATCTCTATTTTAAGATCACTATGGAGTTACTTGCCTTCTAACTCCCACCGCTCACCACCACCCACCTTATAAAATGGATCTTTGTAAAGTTTTCAAGAATCTGAATTAAGCCTGGCCCATTTTCTTTCCTATAGTTTGGACCTTTACCTCCTTGTTGCTTTTTTTTTTTTTTTTTTTCTAGGTCTTTCTGATCATTTTACGTAGCTAATGACTTTCTGTTCATGACCAATTTGTACTAGATCAAAGATGAGGCTCTGACTGAGGCAGATGACTGTTGTTCTCACGAAAAGGACGATGGTGAAGATGAGGACATGGGTGAGTTCAGAACCAGTAAGCAAGATAAAAAGGCAAAGGAGGCTCCAATCTGATGTGGGTTTTCAGATATATGAGTAACGAGTCTATTAAGTGGTGTGAATCTCCCCACATTGCTTTGTCTCCTTTCTGCCCTTTACTGGCCCCTTGAGCACATTTCACAACTTTATGACAATGGTCATTTCCAGCAAGTGTGACTTTAATGGTAATTTCTGTGCAAGAGAAATTCTCCATCTAATAAAATGAAGTGCTGATACTCATTGAGTATCTTGATGATGGTATTTCCTTAGTCCCTATTTGGACTAAAGGTCACAAGTAGCATTTTCCCCACCTTCTTTCTGAAGTAGCAGTCAACTGTACTGAAAACCTCCCCCCTCCCCACAGTCCCCCACCCTTGTCCCTTATCCTTAGCCATTCACAGAGTTCACACTCATGGACATCCCAGCTCTTCCGGAAACTTCCATAGAAGAAGAACTTGACCTGACAAGAGGAAACTCACAGTTTAGGATTCTAGGCATACTATCAACACTTTAGGATTCCAGGCACAGTATCAAGACAGGTCAGAGGTTGTACTGAGACCTTGTTTCTTGGTGACTGAGACCACAGAGGAGCCAGGATGAAGTTCACAGGCCAAGTTGATAAGAGAAGGACCATAAAATTTTATTGCTGCAAGAAGTCGAAAGGCTTTTAAATTTCTAATTTTCTGTGTGGATTTTAACAAAGAGAGAGGTGCCATTTGGGAGAACAAAAAGACTTCAAGCATGAACACAGCCTAGCTGTGGCAGGTACTTGTGCTGGAATCTTTTATGGAGGTTGCAGTTGCCTTTGGGGGTGACCTCTGCGGAGCCTCTGAGGCAGTGCTGTGAGGCCAGCATCCAACAACACTATCCTTTGACCTTTTTCAGTTTCAGTGGGGAAGACTTGTACCTTGGCCATCATTAAACCAGATGCAGTGGTACATGGAAACACTGATGAGATCATTATGAAGGTAAGGGAGATAAAACTCACCAGCCACACTGTCTTCATGCCTTCCATGGTGGGAAAACAGGGGGTGGTGTGTCATGCAAGGGGATGTCCTGGTGGAATAAAGAGGGTTCTCCTGGGGTTCTGCTGTGGCACTGTGGGATAAGCACTGGATTGCTAACCTCAAGGTTGGTGGTTCAAACCCACCAGCTACTCCTTAGAAAACCCTACACAGGGTAGCCCGAACAAGGTTGCTATGAGTCAGAATTGACTTACAGGCACTCAACAAGAGGTTTTCACTGAAATTCCATTTAAGTAAATAATAATTGACCGTCCACCTTAGGACTGGTACCTTGGTAATGAGGGTCTCCACAACTTTGAATGGTACTGTTCTTTTTCTTTTATCTTTCAGCTAAGATAAATGTGCAGCTGGGCCTGACTTACTCTTTCAGAACATTTACATATGCATGTATGTTCTACAGATCCAAGAAGCTGGGTTTGACATTTTAACCAATGAAGAGAGAACCATGACAGAGGCAGAAATGCGGCTTTTCTACCAGCACAGAGCTGGAGAGGTCAGCTCCCCTGCTTTCACAGCACACTCTTCTGTCTGTCTGTCTGTCTCCAGCATTGTGTTGAGAGTTGGTATTGGTTTGGGAGAAAGTAGGTCATTATGAAGAACTAGAACATGGACAGCAAGCTAGCCATGGATTTGTTCTCAGAATGATGATGGTACTCTGTATCAGGTAAAAATTTCTTTGGCTGTAAGGAAAAGATTTGGACTCTAACTTAAGTAACAAAATAAGGACACTTCATAACTCACAGAAATGAAAAAAACGTTGAGAGTTGAGCAATAAGTTCTTGGGGAGAAAAGGAACCCAGACAGTTCTAGGGCTCTGAGAAGCAAACACTCAGGGAGAGTCGCTGTAATCTGCCATTGGAAAATTCAGATCCAACAAGTGTCATCCCAGTTGTTATTGCTGTGACTTACCTCCTTGGGAGAAGAGTCTGGTTGACTAGCTTGGGTCATATTCACACCTCTTGGGTTAGGTTAGGTGTACATGTGTGCCAGTTGGTCGGAGTACATTCTGGTCTTCAGTTAAACTAGGATCAGGTTTAAATGGGGAAGGATTGTTCCCCAAACGAGAACTAGGGCACTGTAACTTGAAAAAGAGGAAATGGCTGCAAAGCATTACAAAAATAAATGTAAGCAGAAAAGTTCTCAACTACATTCCACCCCTTAGTAATCCAGTCTTCACATGAGGTGACGTCCTTATTTATATAGTGAAACCTGTGACCTGGAACTAAATTTGACCGAACTGCCTTGTTTTCCCAGGTCACCTCAACTTTTCTGCCTTTGACAGGGTGCAGGCTTACCACTTTTTTCTTTTATCACTCATTTTAGTGGAAAATATTTGAATATTCTTTCTCTGACCGGTTTCTGCTTTATATAGTTTCTGGCTTTTTCAGGTTTTACTGTATATGGCTTTTTTACTAAGAAGTCCTGGTGGGGCTGTGGTTAAGTGCTTGACTATTAACCAGAAGATTGGTGGTTTGAACCCATCAGTAGCTTTTCAGGAGAAAGATCTGGCAATGTTCTTCCACAAACAGCCTTGCAAACCCTATAGGGAAGTTATACTCTGTCATATAGGGTTCACTGTCATATAGGATCAACACTAGACTGCTAACTGCAAGGTCAGTGGTTCAAACCCACCAGCTGCTCCTCAGAAACCCTATATAGGGTTGTTATGAGTCAGAACTGACTCGAAAGCACTTAACAATAATAACTTAGGTCGCTAGAAGTTGGGAAAGGAATCCTGGTTAAGTGCTCAGAGGTTAAGTGCTCAGCTGCTGGCCAAAAGGGTCATTGGTTTGAGCCTGTCAGTGGTTCCCCGTGATAAAGATGTAGCAGTCAGGTTCTGTAACAATTACAGACTTGGTCATTATGAGACTAATCGATTCTGGCACACCACAACCACAAGCTGGAATCGACTCATCAGCAACAGGAATTAGTTGTTTTCGTTTTGGCCTTTTTAAGGCTCTTGCTTAACTTAGTATAATCATTTCATGTTCAAGCAAAAATTTCATGCTCAACTAAAAGTCTGATCTGTTTGCCCACAACTTGCATCTGTGTTGGTTGCGTGTGATTGGTCCTCCAAGGCAGGGAGGTGAGGTGGTTGGGTGTCCATGCGCATGCTGGCTGGTGGAAAGACTGCTCATTGACTCCCTCCCATCTCATAGGTTACCCTGCTCAGGGTCACTGTGTTCCCTTCTGTACCTAGGAAGCATTTGAGAAACTGGTCCATCACATGTGCAGTGGACCAAGCCATCTCCTGATTCTCACCAGGACTGAGGGTACTGAGGATGTGGTCACCGCCTGGCGAGCCCTCATGGGACCCTGTGATCCTGATGTGGCCAGGAGGGAGCAACCCGACAGGTGATAGATACCACCTGTTGTTCTTTGATCCATCTCAAAACTCATACCCAGGGAAGCTGAGAGCCCCACTCTATGTCCATCCCCAGAACTGTGGGAAGCCCCTTCTTTGCTATATGTTTGGGAAACTGCATTTAGAGCTCACCTGACAGGCTCCTCCTCAGAACCATTCACCAGTCCTTTGCTAGGTGACTCTGGAGACCTGCCTCCATGTGGCCTCCTCCCTTCTTCTGTGTTCTGTGTTCTCCCCTCCTCTGTGAAGACTGCCACTGCATTCAGTCCTGAGCCACTGTTCCTTTGCAGCCAGGAAGTTCTATGTGTGGGCCTGGGAACAACTTATTCAGGAAAATGTAGATTCCAGGGCCTCTATCCGGCCTGCCCAACCAGAGATGGGGTTGGAATCTGCACTGTAGACTCACCCCGCCCCACCAGTGCTCTAGGGCCCCCTAGCAGCTGAGCACTGATCTGTACTGGCTTGTACAGGCTAGCCTGGCCTGCAGCTTGGCCTTGTGACCAGTTAGCCTGACACAACTGATGCTAAATCCATGATGCCTTGGCCCTTGATGCTGGGAGAGGCCCAACCAACAGATTGTTGTTAAGTGCTCTTGAGTCAGTTCCGACCCATAGCGACCGTGTAAAGGGTTTCCAAGGAGCAAATGGTGAGCTTGAACCACCAACCTTGCAGATCAAACCAACTTTTGCAGTCTAGTGCATTAACCCACAGCACCATACCAGGACTCACAGAAGAGAACCAGAAATGAGCAAGAGGCCAAGTGACTGCAACTGCACTTTGTAGTGTGGTAGGGGGCCATGAGATAGCCTGGGCTAGTGGAAGGCAGCCCAGGGTTCAGATATTCACCCACCACTTACTGGGGCAAGCCCCTGTCTATGAATACACCTATTACGAGAGGCCATACAGTTATGGGTAAGAGCACAGACCCCAGAATCCCCATCCTCCTTTTACTGTGTGACCATGGGTCACACTTAAATCGCTCTGTCTCAATTTCCAGTAGCAGAGCGGATTACGAGTTGAGCTGCTAACCACAAGGTCAGCACTTTGAATCTACCAGCCACTCCACAGGAGGCTTTCTGCTCCCATAAAGATTTACAGAAACCCTATGCAGGGTGGCTATGAGTCAGAACCAACTCCACGGCACATAAACACACACATACTCAACTTCCTCAGTCAAAAAATGGTACTACCTGAGGATAGTGTTGTGAGGGTTAAATGAGTATATTTGTGAGACACTTAGGACAGCATGTGGCACACAGGAAGTCCTAGTGATATCACCACCACCTCACAGGGTTATTGGGAGGATTAACTATGCAAACCTATCTAAAGCACTTGGCAGAGTGCTAGCCCCTGGTGGTAGTTAATAGCAACCAAAGAGCAGCTCCCAGAGATTATACCATTACCTACACATTGTTTTAAATGGGGATAATGAGCCAGTCTGCCTGGTAGGCTGTGGCCCAAGTGAAATGAGCCCATGCATATAAGGGCACAGCTACGGCTCAATGTACTTAACGCTGCTCCACTGTTCTTGGTATTTCCATAAAGCAACTTCATAGTAAGCAGTGCACTGATGATCATGTTGCCAGAGAGCAAAATCTTTCTTTGCAAATGAAATAAGTCTTACATTTTGCCAATGTCCCAGTCTCCGTGCTCGTTACGGCACAGAAATGCCTTTTAATGCTGTCCATGGAAGCCGGGACCAAGAAGATGCCAACAGAGAACTGGCACTGCTCTTCCCCAGTCTCAAGGTTTCAGCCAGAGGGGCAGAAACTCCTCAGGGTAAGTCAACAAGGCAGGTTTGATCTCTTTAAACCTGAGGTGAAAAGGAACTTGTGAGCATGTACGTGTGTGAATGTGAGAACTGAGTCACTAACTGGTCACTACGTCTTCAATCGAATAAAGTTCTGTTTAAAAAAGAAAAAATGACATTCCTTCCTGTCCTGTGGATTCTGACTCAACAGGGACCTTACAGGCCAGGGCACTTCACAATAGATCTTTATGGAAGCTGCCTGCCTTTTCTCCCGTGGTGAGGCTGGTGAGTTTGAACCACTGACCCTTCAATTAGCAGCCAAGTGCCTAACTACTACACCGCTAGGGCGGCTTGTTCTGAAAATAGGGGCCATTATCTAACTTTGGTGCAAATGGTTAACTTATCGCTGCTAAAAGAAATCTTGGTGGTTTGAGTCCACCGACAGGCACCTTAGACAAAGAGCCAGGAGATCTACTTCTGTAAAATCAGCCACTGAAAACCTTCCGGTGCACAGCTCTATTCTGACACACATGGGGTCGTCTTGACTCACAGTCTACTCAACCTGCAACTGGTTTCGTTTCGTATGTAATGTGAGCATCAGTCCTGAATAATGTGCTTTCCTAGAGTGTTGCATTTTAATACCTCAGTAAAATTTCTGCTGATGAATTTTATTTGGGGATTTTTTTTGCAAAGATGCTTATCCTTTTCCTGGGGGAATGATCACTGGTAAAATGCTTTTGTGGAAGCTGCCTTCAAAGCCAGGTATCTGCCCAGCACTTCCTGTGCACTCTGCTCCATGCTAAGCTCTGAGAGGGGCACCTGAGAAGCAGAGGGCTGCAGGTCACAGAATCCTTTCTGGAGTCCACCGTAACCCTGTTCCTTCAGCCTCCAAACTTTGAATGAGTGATCCTAATTCAGGGTCCTTCCCTTTCATGTAGAGCTTTCACAGCCTCTGGGAAAGGCGAGCCAAATCAAATCTTGGGGAAGGGGGAGAAACCCAAGGGTCTGGAGACCGTGTGACTTGTCCCTTTTGGCTAGGCTGGTGCTGCTACTGCTAGTTATGTGTCCCTGGTTTGAACCCTAGGTGATATGGAACAGGCTGGCAGTAAATCTCCCAGGCCCAGTTCTGGAAAGGGCACATAAATCTAAAATGGTAATAAGCTTTGTATGCCTTACATGTTTGGGCTGTAACCGATGCTTTACTTAAATGTTTGATATGTTCATGGTCTCCTCAAGATCTCAATTCAGTCAAGGAAAAACAGGTGGGCAGAGGGTACGGTGAGAGGTGCAATGATTTCCATGGCCAGCTGAGGAAGGGATGAAATTTAGGGAGTCTGCTATGGATCAGACACTGATGCTCGGAGCTCTTCAGTCATTCCCTCACTTTCTTCATTGAGTGAGGCATTGCCAAAGTCAGCATCTCTCTAAGGGACTCAGGTGATAATTAGCAAAGGGGACAGTTCCAGAAGGGTCCGACTCCAGGAAGAGGAAGTGCACAGCCTCCTTGGGGTGCTGTTGTGCCTTCTCACGTTTCAGAAGCAGTGAGATTTTCAACACTTTTACTGCTAAGAAGACATTGGGGGTCAAGTTTTGGAAATACACAATCCTGGGTTTCAATCCTGATTCTAGCTGAATATCCTTGGGAAAGTTATTTACCCTTTCTGGGCCTCAGTTTCCTCAGAGGAGATAGTAATAGCAGTCCTCCCCACCTCCACTCCCCCATCATAGCCGGTAAGAACAGCCTTCCTCACAGGCTGCAGTGACAATAGAAGGAATCAGAGTACGAAGCTCTTACCTTGGTGTCTGACACATAAGCTCAGCAGATGCCGACAAATTCAAATTAGTAATTCCTTTGTGTGGTATTAACATACCTATCAGAAACTTTCTTAGGTGTCTCTCCAACTACTTGGAAGTGATATCCTTAGTTCTTCTTTTCCTCCTGTGGATGGCAGGTAGGGCAGGACTGGGGAGGGCTCTTTCTAAGCCCCTACATTGAAAGTATCCTTTGTCCCACAGGCAGCCAGGTCCCAGGACTGGCGGGTCCCACCGAGTCGCTGGGCTTCGAAGACTGAGATCGCCCTGCTGTTTTTCTGGGGCACATAACCTGGGCTCAGGCCACATACGATTCAAAGACACCTCCAGAATCGGAACTCTCTCTTCCAAGCACCAATAGTTTATTTGGTTGAAGTCTTTTGTGGGCAACAGTATACTGAACATATATGAACAGTTTTTGCTGTCCAGTTGATTTTAAAAAATAAAGGCAGTTATTGTATTCTGCTGTGACATACTGAGTTACACAGGCCCATGTTCCCCAACAATAAATCTACTTTATAGATGTAAAACTTTAAGAGATTAACTTGCTAAGTATGAATTTGAAAACTGTCCTGTTTGGGCAGGACACTTGGAGGCATGTGGACGGCGGCTCTCAACGCCCACCATGCTGCTCCGCCGACACAGGGACAGGCACTTAGTGCTGTGTGTCCATTCATGCTCCCCACCATCCTGGACATGTTCATAAAGCAGTGGTTGAAGGTCAGACTTGAAACCAGGCTTCATCTGGTCTTCCTGACAGCCTCTTCATGCTCCTCAACCTTTGGTTTCTGATTTTAGATAAAACTTGGTTTTAAAACCTGTTTTCACTAAAATGCCTGACATAGCTGCCCCTCAATGGTTCTTGAAGGACACAGGAAGTTTCACAAAAAATAGCTGTAATTACCCCCTGTGAATATTAACATGCATGGTCATATGCTCTTCTCCGTTTTGCTCTTTGGCTTATTTGTAAATTCACCAAGCACAAGTGTACTTTCCTTGCCAATTGAGGAAAAGGCCATGTTCTTCTGCACTACAGAGCCAATGTTAGCAATCTCCTCTTCACTGGCTGATTTTCTGCAGAGGTGTTTACTCCTACGACTTGAAGTTCTTTAAATGGGCAGAGCTCCCAGCAGACTGCTCTTCATGTTGCTTTAATGTTTCTGTCAGCAATCCACGCCAGCCTGTGCTGACACTGGGGAGACCTGAAGGTGGGACCAAGGGCGATGACACTGGGTAGTTAGTCGTGGTTCTACCACTACCCAATGTCACTTCTGGATATAAACACGCATGCCCACTGTGCACGGGCCCCCACATGAGGTGAGGAGCTCTGTGGAGGCTTCAGCGACAGGATCTGCACAGAAAGATGGATCCCCAGCTCCAGACCCACGGCACCCCATGGGGTTGTGCTCTTCCCTCAAAGGTGGAAACCCACTGGTCTGTACCTGAGTGGCAAACAACTTGAAGGAGCCCTAGAGCCCTCTCTAAGCTGCCATACCACTGCTGAGTGCTACTTGGGTGCAAAGGCTCACCAAGCTGACAGGTGTCTGATGAGAAATGGAAAGACCAGGGCCTCCAAAGGCAGGGGAAAGAGGTTGAGAATAGGCGGAGGATGCAAGCTGGAGGGGCAGATGTCAGTTTGTTTTTGTGATGTTCTCTAAAGCTTCTAGGAATCAGCTGGGCATGGAGAGGTGGGGGCTGGGGCAGGCAGGTGGGCCATTAGGGCCAGAGTGGGAGGGGTGGTCTCCTCCCATTAGTGGCACAGGAATACTATGGGTTCAGCCTGGAGGGCATTTTGTTCTCAGAATCCAGTTCACTGAATAAGGAATGGGGGGCTCCTGAGAATGGCCTGATCTCAGAGGAGGAAACACCTTGGCAGAGATTCTGGCCTGACCTCCCACAACCAAACACACCAGGGGCTAGAGGATGGATACCATGTTTGGTACTAAGGCCCCTCAGTTACTGGACAATAACTGACAGGATGGCAGGTGAGGCCAGCCCCATGAAGTCGAGGAGGGGAGCTCCTTCCTAAGAACCATTTAGGGCTGTCTGCAGTGAGAAGGCCAACTCCCAGGAAAAACAAAGCCAGGAGCAAGGGGCTGAAGAGAAGGAAAGAGGGGTGGTGGCTCAGTAGCCCATTCCATGACCCTTGGGGATTCCCTGTGTTTGGGTCCTGGACCAGAACTTCCCCCTGCTGGGAACTGACAGCTTCCTCTCTGCCCGGTAATCAGAGAAGTCAGAACACAGGGGGCAGGACTGGGCAGCATCAGCCCCTATCCCTGGTAGCAAGGTGTTAGGACCTGCCTGTTGAGCCACCCATCAGGACCTGGGATGGGAGTCTTCCTTCTCCTTTCTCAGGCCCTATTTCTAAGTTTCTTCTGTGACACTCATGGAAAAGAGGCCAGTGTGTCTTCCTCCTATCCTCACCTTGGGTCCCTCCACTAGCAGTCACCTCAACAGCTTCCCCTCTTGACTTTGTTTCCACAGGGAGAAAGGTGTTCCCTCCACTTTAGAGATGGAGTAAGGCAGGCAGTGCATCCAGTAAGTGAAGCATACCCATGCATCCTTGCAGATAGACAGTAGCTACTTCTGGATGCAGACAGTACCTGGACTTCGTGCCCGGACCTGCATGCAGCAGGTGATGGCAGAAGTGTGGATGCCTGAAAGGGTCGAGGTGAGGATGGAGGAGGTAGGCTGTATACTTCGCAGCCTTAGTGGCTGGAAGTAGACATCTGTAAGTCTGCTGGCCCTCAGGAGGAGGCTGGGAGGAGTCCCCAGATTGCTGCAGATGCCCCTGGAAGCTGGGGCCACATGAAAGCCCAGTCCCCACACTTCCCAGTCCCTCAATCACCAAGAGGCACAGATTCTAATGCTTCCTACTGTTCTAGACATTTGGAAAACAGACTCCTTTTTAGATGTTGCCATGATTTTTCTTGGCTTTTATTAGCATGTGTTAAAATCATATTATCCAAACACTACCAGAAAGAACATGTATTGTTCTGAATAAAGTGCTTAAGAAAAAAAAAATGCAACTTATTAAATTGGACATTCTTTTCTAGTTCATAAATTTTGGGTTACAATCAGGGCACAAAAGGAGAAACAGAATGCAGTATTAGAGAGAACCAGAAGCTTAGTTAAGAACTCGGGTGTCGATACAAGACCACGTCCCATTCTTCCCACTTCCTTGCTAACTGAACACTGCACCTGCGTGAAGCAGCAAATAGCTTTGTTTAAATAAATACATTTTCCTTCATTTAAGTCAGAAAAAAGTTAATTATAATAAAGCACTTTTTATTTGACCATCTGTTCATGCCCATAGGCAAGATTTATCCCCAGAGTGTTCAGTGTGAACATGTCATTTCATTGGGCCTTCAGCTTTCTGATACTATTTGGGCTCAAGATTGTCTCAGCAATTCATTATTGGTTTCTTTATATTTACCTGGTAATTTAAACATCAACTCTACAGTCTTTTATGCTCCAAGTGCCAACCCAGGATATTTTCTTAGTACTAGAAACTACAGTGAGTGGGCCTGAGTAAGGCTTTATTTCCCACAAGCTAGGATTTTGTTTAACTGACTTCCCCATACTAGCATTCTGATGTCTGCACAAAACCTAAGTCTCTGTTTCGACAGATTTTAAAATCAATGATGTTCTGAAAAAATAACAACATAGAAATCTCTGTGTTTGAATTTTGGGAGGTCATGTTGAAACCAGGAAAACTTGCATTAAATACATTTTTAAAACATTCCTTTGCAATCAAACACATTTAAGCTTTTCCAAGGAAGGTGCAGGTTGGTGACAGGGCAGATGAGACACGAACACCACCACCAAGTGAGGCAGGTGGGCCTGGGCCTGGGCCCCCCAGGGCACATACTCACCGAGAACTTCGGGGCCACAGACCTTGCTCCCTACATGCAGGGACTCTGACCCTCTTTAGCAAAATGGAAAGAGAAGCTGGTTCTACCTTCCAACAGTCAAGAGCAACCTCTGTTGAGTTCTGCCTGGAAGCTAACCAAGAAGTAGGTGGCCAGCTATGGGCTGCAGAGGGTTAAGCAGTACTTGCTGTAAAAACAAGTTATCTTCAGAGATTCCCTTTCCTTCTCTCAACTTGAGTGCTTCTAGCTTCATGCTGGAAAAGTTCTTAGCTGCATCTTTTACTAAAAATTTGAATTCATTTTACAAAAGCACACTGAGCATCAGTCCTGAGCGGCTCGGATGTTGTTTGCTGAGAATGGCTATCCTGTTCTTGGCTTCTTTCTACCCAGGGGTCTGCAGGCCATTCTTTAGTTTCACAGTGATAGATACTGTTCAGGAAGCACAGGTGAGCTGACTTTGTTTCCAGGAAGATGAAAAGATCCGTGACTGCTCGCTACTCCTGCTGGATGCTGTCACGCCATTGACAGGAGGTGGGGCCGTGAGAGGGCTCTAGGTGCCCAGGTTCTGTCATGAGTGGCCAACCTTAGCCATGGCTGGGCTCTTACACAATCAGTAGTACACTTCCCTTAGAGGTTTCACAATCCTACAGTGAGTGCTGCCTCACTCCACGCCACCCTGTCCATCTGCCTTGGAAGCCTGAGAACTGAAGTGAATTCGGCTGAACAAAGGCTCTGTGCCTGCTAAAACTGACGGCAGTAAGATGCGAGCTCACTATTTTGCACAGCACCATGTATAGTGGCTGTTACTCAGGCCAACTATAGCCAACTTTTTCAACTTTTTTTGTTTTTTATTTTTTTTATAAAGAAAATCTATGTAAGTTGAGGTTCAGAAATGCATATATTTTTTTTTTACTTACAAATATTCATCTGACCAAAATTTAACATAACTTTTATGGAACACTTAACAATTAATTTGTTTTTAAAATAACATTTCATTCAAACTGTATATAATTCAGTAAAGTTTTTTTTATACAGCAAGCAATGCTTAAACCCTGGAAAATCTGTATAAAAGAGATTTTCACACAAAATAAGAAAAGAAAATTCTGAGGTATCCCTCACACTCACTCTCACACACACCTCCACACTGACCCACATGTACATACACACCTTACACACATGCCTGTGTGTGCAGACACAGTCATTTTCACCCACAAAGTGGCTGCAGCATAGGCAAAAAATTGTAGGTCCAAAGGAAAATGCTGACTGATTGTTCTAATAAAGAGTCCAGGTAGCTCAGAAAACAACAACAACAACAACAAAAAACCCCAAAGCACAAGAGTCCTCTGAGGCAATTACTACCTCAAAAAAAAAAATAAATCCTCAAGATGAATCTGAGATCTAAGCTACTAAATTGCTTTTGCAAAACAGCTCCCTGCAGTCCAAGGTGACTTGTGCAAATAGAAGGAATCAAATGAGGCTAGTTCCTGTACTTCCTTAACAAGGATGTGGGGTGTTCGCAGGTGCCCGGGACGCCGCCCATCACGCCAGGTACTGCTGCAGTGCCGTCTTTGCCCTGAAATCACAAAGGTCCTGTCAGCCATCATCTGAGAATGTTCACTGGGGAAAAAAAAAACCCTGTAGCTCATACTTGGTAGTTGTGAAGGCCTGAGAAGTTGGATTCCAAAAGGAACTGGGCTGAGCCCTGCTGGGCACCTACTTTAAGGGGCAAGGACCTGCAGTCGGCGACACTTTCTCTCCTGTATACTCTGACACTTCAGTTCTCCTGGGTCCCTGATGTACAGCTGTGATGATGTGGAACTCTTTACTTTCTCCTGTTGTCATGCAGATTTTGGCAGAGGGCACTTAGGGCTCTGAGATGCTCAGAAGGAAAATGACCCAGGAGTGGCAGGCAGGTACGATTAGAAGGTGGCAAGGACAACAGCTCACGGGATGAAGCTGCCTCAAGGTTCAGATGCGGAGTTTACAATTTCATCTTGTTCTTCCCATCATGCTTGATGGCACTACCACCAGTTGTTATGGGATGTGTGCTGTTATGGTGATTGGGGAAGAAGGTAGCCAGATGGAGACGGAAAGATGTAATGCAGACTTAACCTATCCTGACTTGGCACTCCTTTGAACTGGGCCTGAGGAGGTCTCCTTTACGACTCATCATGAGCTTCAAGTTTCCAAAGAGGCTGCAATTGTGGGACTTAGAAAGAAAACTTTAGCAACAGTCTCCCCTTCTAAACTACAAAAGAAAAGGCTAAAAATCTCAGTTACTATTAGATGATGAAAGCAAGGCCAAGTTGACTGGGCATGTGGCAACTTGGACTTGAGTGCAGTTTCTATAGTAAGCTACTTTTAAAGAGCTTTGTCGTTGTTAAGTGTCAAGTCGATTCCGACTCATAGAGGGTTTCTAAGGAGCAGCTAGTAAGCTTGAACCGCCAACCGGGCAGTTCAAACCAACCTTGCAGTCCAGCACATTATTCTTGCAATTACAAGTCTATACAGAGCATAGTTGCAAACAGTTCAATTCATCAGAATAGAAAGCTTTAGACAGATTGTTCCCAAGCTGTGGGTAAGCTAGGTTCTTCTACAGGTCATTTTCCTACAGAAACAAGCGTTAAAATGACCATCCAGCTCATCCCTAAACTTCATAAAGAGGCTGACGAAAGCAGTACTGACAGATGGAAACCTCACCCCCCTCTCCCCCACACCCAAGGACTTCTGAACCTGGGGTTGGTGAGAGGCAAGGGGCTGCTTAGTTAACAGTTCCTTCTGTTAAGTATTTCAATGTGCTAAAAGATCACAAGGCCTTACAGACAGAAAGGAGCAGAGAGATGTCTTCACTGGGTGTCGTGATGGGGATGTCCACATGAGCATTTCGATTGAAATCCTGGGTTGCTCTTTAAAACGGCCAATTCAGAGACTTTCAGGATCTTTCTTACAGGCTGGCTATGTTTGACTACACTGGGTCATGGAGACTATGCCAGTAGTATCTTTCTACACTAAAGTCTTTCAGATGGGTCATTTTGGAGTTAAGATTATCTTTTTTTAAGCAGACTTACGTAGGGAGGCTTAAACCTTGATTTTTTTTCATGGACATTAAGAACTGAAAACGTAAATAAATGAAGGTGTGCTGCTGTCGTGGGCAGGTATGGTTGCAGTGTAGGGTAGACTCTGCAGGGGATGGGAGGTGGCAAAGGCAGGGCCAAGCTCAAGAGTGTGGCGAACGACAGAGTTGAAGCTCCCTGCTCGTTACTGTTGTAGGTGGAGGTAAGCTGGCAAGTGAAGACTGTGCTTTCAGGGGGTATACACAGCTAGGAGGATCCCTGGTGGCTTCTTCAAAGTCAAGCATCTCTTCTCTGAGGATCCCTGCTTCCCCCAGGAAATGGTAAGCTCTCTAAAGGCAGGGGCTCCTTGGTGGTCCCTGCTATGTCCCCAGAAACTAGGCATGCTGACACAGGGCAGACACTCATCACTGAGCTTTCTGCTTTCCAAAGGGCGTTATGTATTTCTCGTCTAATGACTGAGACAAGGTAGGAGAGCTGCCTCCAGTGATCCACCAAGATGGTCCAGGCCCAGGTTAATTCAGAGTGAAGACCCGAAACTTTTATAACATACTAATTTTTAGCTTATTCCAAAAATTCATGAAAAATTCCATTCTCCTTTTAGTTCAATCTTTCCACAAACTTTCTGCACCCCCTTGTTTCTCACTGAAATGTCAAACAGTTGGCTCACGCAATATTAAAAAGGGAATCCAAAAATTTAAAGGATTTTAGTTTGGCCATGTGAATTACCAGGCACGCCAAACCCTTTCACACAATAACCCACTATTCCCTCAGACAAGACCCTTTTACTTTGATACTTACTTGTCACAAAGGTTTGAATCTGGTGACTGACTCAATTTATGTAAAATATCTACGATGCCCATATCTCGTAATTTATCCTGGCGTTCTTGTGAACCTGAAAGATTAAAGCTAGCAGGTTATTCAGAACAGGACTCAGTGATTGATCTCCTTGAGACACAACAAGCAACCTAGAGCCTTTACCAGTGTCCTTCAGTGCACAGTCTCTCGCACTCCCCCGCTCCCCTACTTGCAGCTATTCCCTCACACTTGGACCCCCTCCGACGGTCTGTTAACTCTTCTCCCTGACTCTTGACCCGCCTTCCCAAAATCCACCTGGGGTTCTGCTGCTGTATTCTTAACAGGGCTTGCTTTCTTTCTCCCTGCCTTTTCCTTTCTCCTTCCAGCGCTTTCTATTGCCTCTTGGTTAGCAACTGCAATTCCAATTCCCATACCTCTGGTTCTATATTGCTACTAGATTAGGACCTTCTTGTGGACTTCTTTGTCTCCCCTCAGCTCTTAGCAGAGCCTCTTGTCCCAGACAGCACTTGGGAGTTTGGGGGCTGAATCCAGTTTCTCTTCTTCCCACTGAGTACAGTAATCCCCTGAACAATCTGCAGTGACTCACTCAAGCATCAATCCCACTAGACTCAGAGTCTCTGGGGGTGGGACCCAGAAATCTGCATTTTACAAAGTTTTCCGGGTGATTCACTCAGCCAGTGTAGGACGAAGCCCCAGTCCTCTCCTGCATTGGCTCACTACCTTGCTTTACATTGGAATCACCTGGAGCTTTAAACATACTAATGACTGGAGGTCACCTCCAGAGTTCCTGCCTTCACTGGTCTGGCGTGCAAGTCCCCAGGTGATTCTAGTGTGCAGCCAGGGTAGAGAACCTGGGACCCACAGAGGCCTCCTTAAGGACCGGCGGCTTCTCTTCACTGAGTTGTATGGTATTCCTCACTTCTTACCAGTGCAGTCATCTCTCCATCAAGCCTTTCATGGGCTTCCCCTGCACATGATCAAAGGCCCATCCCTGCCACCCCACTCTCACCATTCTCCTCCTCAGCTTGCTCAAGGGCGGGAGCTGTCATTTCTCTAGGGTCTCCTCACCCACCCCCAGTCATCTCGTGCAGTGTGGACTCTGAGGTCTGGTTCCAGTGCCTGGTATCCACTTGGCTCAGGTTGGTCCCTCGGATTCCCATACCAGAGTGACTCTGCTGAGAGCTCGGGTCCAAGGAACTCAATGTTGGGGGCCTCTGCCAGGATTTCAGGGACACCTGCTGCCTTCCCTGTGCAAAGAGAGACCCTCTTCCCCGAAATTTTCTCTGGAACTAATCTCACCAATTTCTTACCTTCCTCTTCATTCCATACGAGGTTTGATATACAAACCATCGCAGCAAGCTGCAGTTTGACATGTGAATGACCCTATGTGATGCAGAAAAGAGAGGAAAATGGAATGAACTGCATTTTAGATAATTTTTTAGTAACATGCGGTCTCAGTTATCTAGTGCTGCTGTAACAGAATTACCACAATTGGAGTTCATGAACAGAAATGTATTTTCCCACAGTTTAGGAGGCTACAAGTCCAAATTCAGAGTACCAGCTCAAGGGGCAGGCTTCCTCGGTCAGCTCCGGAGGCAGGTCACTGTCACTTAGCTTCTGCTCCTGAGCCATCTTCACGGGCTTGCCATCTCTCTCCCGCAGTCGCCACTTCTAGCTTGCATTTAATCTCTTTTACTGGTGTGGCGTTGTGGGTTAATGCGCCCACCGCAAAGCTGTTTGAATTGTAAGGTTGGCAGTTCAAGCTCACCAGCTGCTCCTCGGAAACCCTATACAGGGTTGCTATGGGTCGGAACTGACTCAATGGCACTTAACAACAAATATCTTAAAAGATACAGTCTAAAAATACACCCTACACTAATCCTGCCTCAACATAACAAAGACAACCCATTCCCAAATGGGAGTATCACCACAGCTATGCTGTTCTTGTTACATGCCCTTGGATCAGTTCTGAATGATAGCGAAACCACATAGGGTTTCTGAGGCTGAAATCTTTGTGGGAGCAGAAGAGTCTCATCTTTCTCACTAGGAACAGCTGGTGGGCTCAAACTGCCAATCTATGGTTAGAAGTCCAGTGCTTATCCTAAAGAGGCACAGAGTTCTCCTAAACACAGGTATAGAGGTTAGGATTCACAACACTTATTTTGCGGGGACGTTGTTCAATCCAATACACATGTCATAAGTAATCCCAATAGTCAAAAAGTTTGAACTGGGGACTTCAAACTCAAGTGCTGTTGAGGAGCCCAGAAGTTAAAACCAGTAAGTAGAAGGACTGTGCTAAAGACAAGCAGGGAATGGTGTGGAATCTGGACTATCAAGGAACCTTGCCAAAAGACATTTCAAAACCCTCTGTGTGGCCGAAACAAAATACCTCTGGGCCATAAGTACTGATTACAGTTTATGACTCAACCCTAGCACATGAAAACACTGGCATAGGAAAATCATGTTTTTGACTTGTTGTTAGGTACTGTCACGTTGGTTCTGCCTCATATTGGCCCTACATACAACACAACAAAGCATTGCCCAGTTCTACAACATTCTCACAATTGTTACTATATCTGAGCCCACTGTTACAGCTCCTGTGCCAGTCATTCTCATTGAGGGTCCTGCTCTTTTTTGCTGACCCTCTACTTTACCAAGCATGAGGTCCTTCTCCGGGGACTGGTCCCTCTCAATAATATGTTCACAGTAGAAGTTGAAGTCTCTCCATCCTGACCTATAGGGAGGATTCTGGTTATACTTCTCCCATGCCACATTTATTCTTTTGGCAGTCCATGGTACTTTCATCAACACCGTACTTTCTCCAACACCATGATTCAAAGGTATCCATTTTTCTTCTGTTTTTCTTATTCATTGTCCAGTTTTTGCATGCATATGTAGCAATTGAAAAGACCAGGACTTGAGTCAGGCACACCTTAATCCTCAAAGTGACATCTTCGCTCTTTAACACTTCACAGAGGTTTTCTGCAGCAGATTTGCCTAATGCAATAAGCCATTTGCTTTTCTAACTGCTGCTTCCATGGGTGTGGATTGTGAATCCAAGTAAAACAAAATCCTTGATGATGTGTACCATGGATTTGTTTATCATGTTGTTGTTTACTGGTCCAGTGGTAAGGTGTTTTTTTGTTCGTTTGTTTTTTAATGGTGAGTGTAATCCATACTGAAATCTGTAGTCTTTGATCTTCATCAGTAAATGCCATCAAGGTCTCTGCACTTTCAGCAAGCAAGGTTATATCTTCTGTAAATCACAGGTTATTAACGAGTCTTCCTCCAATTCTGATGCCACGTTCTTCTTCATACAGGCCCACTTCTTGGAGCACTGGCTCAGCACAGATATTGAATAAGTATGATGAAAGGATACCATCCTGATGCACATTTTTCTTGACCTTACACCATGCAGTATCCCCTTGCTCTCTCTCTATTCAAACGACTGCCTCATGATCACTGTACAGATTCTGCATAACTGCAATCCAGTGTTCTGGAATTCCCATTCTTCACAATGTGACCCATAGTTTGTTATCTACAGAGCCTTTGTATATAACCAATACAATACAGGTCAACATCCTTCTCTGCTTTCAGTCAAGAACCACCTGGCAGCAGTAATGGTATCTTCTACTCTATGTCCTCTTCTTGTATATCTGATAGTTCCCTGTCAATGTACGGCTGCAACTGGTTTTTAAATTATTTTCAGCAAAATTTTACTTGTGTGTGATATTAATGACATCGTTCAATGATTTCTGCATTCTGTTGTTGTTAAGAGCCACCAAGTCTGTTTCGACTCATGGTGACCTTATGCATAACAGAACGAAACACTGCTCAGCCCTGTGTCACCCTCACAATTGTTGATACACTTGAGCCCACTGCTGCTGCCACTGTGCCAACCCATCTCGTTGGGGGTCTTTCTCTTTGTCTCTGACCCTCCATGTTACCGAGCATGCCATCACTCCAGGGACTGGTCGCTCATGATAACATGTCTAAAGTATGAGAGATGAAGTTTTACCATACCTGGCTTCTGCTGACTTACATGCTGCTTAATCTACAATAGGAAACTTTCAATTTGCTGAAGGCCAGTGTATGGACAAGCATTTAGTATATCTTTTCAGCTACTAATTATCTTGTTCAAGTGACCTAGAACTTCCGTCAGAGAGGAAAGTGATTCATGGAACTCTTTAACAACTGGACTGTCCCCATCCCACCTAACACATACACATTTACAAATGGTTTGCTTCTTCCACACCCCTTGCTGAAAAAAAAAATGGTTATGTCATACATTCAGCTTCTGGAATAATTAAATTATTCTTATTTTCATAGGAATATTCCAAAAAACTTGATTAACTCTGTTTCTACTTTATTTGTCAAATGTCTCTACTCTGGTTAAAGACAATATCCTATTCTCCTGAAACAATTCTTATTTATGTACTGAGAGTACAACCATTCCTATGTAAGTTGCATCCTTTAGAATGCTTTCTCCTAAATGAAAAAGGAACCAAGATAAAACAATCTTTACAGCTAATTTTCCTTAGAGAGCTTCTTAGCATATTTAAATGACGCTGCGAACATCTGAGGGAAAGTCAGAGGCTTCATGCTTTCAATGAAAGCTAAGACAGAGACTCATCTCTTCACTTTGGCCTATAGCTCAACTCTGCTGACACACAGAACAGATATGGATTCGGTTTCCTTCATGAGGTTTCTATAATTACTGATTCTTTCTCCCCACCTGCCAAGACTTTTTAAGACATGTTCAATTTGGGCTAACTGACAAAACAATCATTTGCTCCCAGCCCCAGGGTATCAATGAGTATTTCTGGAATGAATTAACTTGTGGGTTAATGCGCAAGACTGCAAAGTCATTTGAACTGCAAGGTCAGCAGTTCAAGCTCTCCAGCTGCTCCTCGGAAACTCTATACAGGGTGGCTATGGGTTGGAACCGACTCGATGGCACTTAACAACAACAACAAGTACAACAAATAAATAAATCTCTACTATTAACGAGCAGGAATCCTGGTGTGGTGCTGTGGGTTAATGCACTGGACTGCAAAGTCAGTTTGAACTGCAAGATTGGCAGTTCAAGCTCACGAGATGCTCCTTGGAAACCCTACACAGGGTTGCTATGGGTTGGAACTGACTCGACAGCACTTCACCACAACATTAAGGAGCATGGAGTCCGGGGGCAGCACTGCAGGATATTCCACTGGACCCCAAGGTCAGTTTGAACAGCAACAACGACGACAGTTAAGGAGCACTGGTAGTACAATGGTTAACTGATCAGCTTCTAACCAAAAGGTGTGGAATCTGCTTTGATAAAAACTACAGCCTAGGAACCTCTAGGGGGACAGTTCTACTCTATCAAATAGGGTTGCTGTGAGTTAGAATTGATTTGATGGTACATGGTGTTGTCCCTTCATCATGTATTCTTCCTTTCATTCACTTTTTGTGAAGACAAAACTACCTGGACAGAGAAAACTGGAGGGTGAAGTATTACTTAAAGTGGCATGCACAAGAAAGATTTCTTTGAAGAAGCATCATTTAAGCATAGACTTAAAGACTAGAAAGCTACCAATTGTGCAAAGAGCAAGGGGGCTAGGGGTTCCGAAAATAAAAAAGAAAAGCTCCCTGAAAAGGCAGATGGTAAGGAAGAGCTACAGAGTTAATGCATTTATTATAAGCAGGGTTGAATCACAGGCCCTCATAAGCCACAAAAAGGACCCTAGAGTGCATTTTTGAGTTAATAGAAAGCCTCAGAAGGATTTGAGCAGAGAAGGACAACAGCTGATTTACATTTTAAAAGACTACTTGTGCTAAAGGAATTGGAATAGACATGCAGAATTGTCTGTTGTTGTTAAAGTGCCATCCAGTCCATTTTGACTCATAGTAACCCTGTGCAGAGTTTTGAGGAGTGGCTGGGGGTATGAACCACTGATTTTGTGGTTAGTGTCCAGTGCTTATCCTACAGCATCACACCAGGACTCTAGGAGGTCATTAACAATAGGGCATGAAAGGCTGTGGCTTGGACTTGAGTGAGGGCCGTGGAAAGGGAGAGAAGAGATTAGATTTAAGATGAGTTCTGGAGACAGGGCTGACATGTGAGATATGTGTGGAGGCAGAGCTGGAAAAATCAAGACTGACTCCCAGGTTTGAACAATGAGGTGGGTGGTAGTCATTACAGTGGGAAGGAAAGATCAGGGAAAAACAAATGGAAGGTTAGGGGAATATTTAATATATCATTCTTGAACATTCACTTGAACTGCCTACTACTAGGCAGGAGACTATACGAGTCTGGGGCTCAAGAGAGAGCTCTAGGCTGGAGGTACACAGTTGGAAGTCATCAACACAGAGATGATATTAAAGGCCATGGATGGAAGTAGATGAGATTCCCCAAAGACTGTGGTTCTCAGCCCTGGTTGTCCATAAAACCATCTGGGGAACTTAAAAAAATCCTGATGCCCAGGATATACCCAGACCAATTAAATCAGAATTTTAAGAGGGTAGGGAATAAGCAACAATATCTTTTTACAGCTTCCTAGGAGATTCTGGGATGGACCACAAGGTCAGTTTGAATTGCAAGGTTGGTGGTTCAAACTCACTAGCCGCTCCTCGGAAAGCCTATATGGGGTCACTAGGAGTCAGACCCAATTCAATGATATTTAACAACAATAGGACATTCTTTAAGGGAGCTCTGGTAACGTAGTGGGTTACAAGTTGGGCTGCTAACTGCAAGGTCAGCAGTTCAAATTTACAAGCCGCTCAAGGCAGAAAGATGAGGCTTTCTGCTCCCTTGGAAACTTGATACAGGGTTGTTATGATTCGGGAGAGACTCATGGCACATAACCACAGCCACCACCATCACCATCACTGGGAGATTCCCAGAGTGTAACCAAGGTTGCGAACCACTGGCATCAGGAGAGAATGCAGGAGAGAACAGAAGAGGGTCCAAGGCTAGTAACGGGCAATAGTTGTCACAGAAGCCAAAGGAAAAGATGGTTTCAAGGAAGAGGAAATGGTCAGTTGTATTAAAGTCTCTACAAAGATGAGGAGAAAGAGGCCTGCCACATCTTTCTCCCACTGAGTGGCTGGGGGGTCCAAACCACTGACCTCTTGGTTAGCAGCTGAGCACTTAACAACTGTACCAGCGGGGCTCCTAAGGTGAAGAGCAACAAGCATCCTTTGGATTTGGCATCACAGAGGTTACTAGTGACCTTAACCAGAACAGGTTCAGCTGGGTGATGGGGTTATTGTTAAGTACCACTGAGGCGATTCTGACTCAAAGAGACCCTGTGGAGGGTTCCCAAGGAACAGCTAGTGGGTTTGAAATGCCAACCTTATGGTTAGAGTAGTGCTGATCCTACAGTGCTGCACCAAGGTGATGGGGTTGGAGCCAGATAAAGCACGTTAAAGAGTGAACAAAGACATGAGGAAGGAGATCACCTGTGCACAAGGACTTTCTCTCTGAACACAGCAGAGAAATCAGGTGTTCGTCAGTGGAATGCTTTAAGGATTAGAGATACTATGTGGATCTTGTATTAGAAAGATAAGGAAATTCCTGATTAAATCAGTAAGGTTTTTATTCAACAAATATTTATTGAGCACATACCTAGGGCCAGACGCTACTCAGGATGCTGGATATACAACTGTGCACAAAACTGACATGTCTTTGCCCATGTGGAGCTTATACTGACTGTACAGGAGTCAATGAACAGGCACACACACAGATATCTGTGATTACAATAGGGAGAAGTGCTCTGTGGCACTACGAGATATGCACTTGGTTGCTAACCACAAGGTGAGTGCTTCAAACTCCCAGCCAACACAGGGTTGCTATGGGTCAGAACCAACTTGATGGCACTTGTCAATAACAAGCGCTCTGAAGGTTGAGAACAGAATACAGTAGCAAAGAATAAGCGAAAGATAAGGTAGCCAAGAGCCCAGTAGTTAGGTGTCTGTAACTGAGCCCAGAAAGGTGAGAAGATATTCTATACAGGTGTCAAGAGAAGTGTTCCAGGAAGGGCAGCCAGCATGTAAGAAGGTCCTGATGCAAGAAAGAGCAATGTCCTTTTTGAGGAAGAGAAAAAGACCATTGCAGATGGTGGACATAAGAAAGAGGAGGTTGGTTGAGATGAACTGAGGCTAACTGTAGACAGGTCAGTTATGCGGGGTTTATGCGGGGTATGTAATAGAGAACTACTCTGAGGATTTTCACCTCTCTTCTCTTTATAAAGCATAAGGTGACCTCATCACTTAGAGTGATGAAGAAGGGAAGAGACGAGGCTTAAAGAGTGAGGAGAAGATAAGAACCTGTTTTTGTGGTGAATGGAGGCACCAGCTTACTAGGGAATCACAGAAGGGTACCAGGCAGTCCTGAATGCTCATCTGGGTTTTGTGAATGTGAATTTAACATCAAACAAGTCTGGCTGACTTGGTTCCCTTCTCTACAGTGGACAGTGATGAAGTGGCAGGAAAGGAGAGCAGAGATTATGTGGGATTCAGCAAAGTAAGATTCACACAGCTGGAGTATTGCTGGAGACAGAGGCAGACTGAAACAAGAGGATGGCCAGAGTATTAGCTAAGGTGTTTGGAAGTAAGTTGTATTTGGAGGTGAACAGGATCTAAGGTGCCAGAGGGCTGGAAGTTTCATCCATTTGGAGTTGAAGCCTTGAGAAGGAAGACAGGCATAAGAGGGTAGGGAAGGCGGGCAGGCAAGACAAGAGGCCAAGTTCTCATGGAATGAGAAGAAGGCATCGACTAATGACAAGGGCAATGGAGTGGGGTGGTGGGTGGTAATACTGCCAAATGCATTAGCTTCAAGAGTAGGTGTTTTTTACCTTTTCCTTTTCTTTCATGATGGAATAAAGATCCTTGAATCTGTCAGAAACTAATCTATTCTTCGTTAAAAAAAAAAAAATCTCTGCACCAATTGTTTTGAGCTAACAACATAGCAGTTCCTGCCTTCTAGTTCTATACCCAGTGTAGAGCAGTGGAAGGGAGGGGACCAGGGCCTACCATGTAATACTTGATTTTCTGCAGTATGTCATCATTGGTCATAATAAGCTCTTTTGCCGTTGTCCCGTCCGCTATGTTGGCCAGGATGCACAGTGTCTGGAAAAGAACAAAGGGCCAGCGGTCAGGAAAAGTTCTGAAGTCCCCAGAATGGATGTGATCAAGCTCTGAAGAGCCTGGGCAATTTCCCACCTGAGTGTGTATAGATTCACAGAGCTGCCACTCTGAATGCCCTGACTTCACACCCCTGATGTAACTGTACTCAAGGAAAGTCTACTTTAGGCAAAGGACAACCCAAACATTTCTGGGCAAAAGCATAAACAGGCCAGAAGCAGCCATAGGTGACACTGTCAAATACAAGGAGAAATGTGATTTATACCTCTTTTCCTCAACATTTCATTTTCAAAAGCAGCTCCTGTGGGGATTTTCCCAGGATGTGTTCTCTCTAGAGACACCTTCGTAGATGTCTCAACTCTTCTCCCTCCCCAAGATTTCTACCTGCTACTTGTTCCCAACTCTACCAGCTACACTGGCCAGACACAATTAGGCCCACCTCGTTTTTTTGAATCATACTGAAGAACAAGTAAAATGTGCACAGGAGTCCATCAAAGATTTATGAGGAGTACTGAGGGAGCCTTTACCAGCAGGCAGGGCAGTACATTCTAAGGACTATCATCACACTGGTGACTAGAGTGTCCTTTCAGAGGAAAAGACTGTTCCAGAGAACTGTTACATTCTTACAAGCAGACCAGCAAGAAGTAAGGATTAAGGAAAAGGTGAAGAGACAATGGTGGAGATACCGGCCCATCACCAGCCTTAGCCATCCAACAAACATTTACCGAGCACTGACAACATGCTGCATGGGTTCAGGGTTAGAATGGAGTAACACACATCTCCTACCTGAAACTGTCACACAAACAATGACATTTCACCATGGTGTGACTGAAGTAAGAACAGAGAACTGAGGAAGAAAAGGGTCTTTTTTCCAATATTTTTAGGGTCAAGGAGTGTCTTGGAGGGAGTGACACTGAGTCCTGGAGAACACTCAGGAATCACCCAAAGAAATGGACAAGAAGTGAGCTTGAGGGCTAGATGCAAAGAATTTTCTCCAAATCAACCTGCCTTAAAATACTTCATGTTGCAGGCTAGGTACTTAATACGTTGTTATGTGCCGTGGAGTCGGTTCCTGACTCATAGCGACCCTGTACTGGGTTTCCGAGGCTGTAAATCTTTACGGGAGCAGAAAGCCTCATCTTTCTCCCATGGAACAGCTGGTAGTTTCAAACTGCTGACCTTGAGGTTTGCAGCTCAATTCGTAACCCCTACGCTACAATAGCTCCTTGGGCTGCAGAACATAGATTACTAAAGAGTCAGTCTTGAGGTTTGAACCAGAGAAGGTTGTTTCTGGATATAGATGACAAGGAAAGGCACAATTTATAATGCAGGTCTTTCATCATGAGGAGACCTTGACAGGCTCCTGAATGGGGAAAGATACCAGATTTCAAAGTGATCTGTCCTACGAGCACTGGTAGTGGTGAGCCTCACATCTCTCAGGACTGAAAGAACAGAAAAGGAAATAAATGAGGTTTGGACTATTTTCTTCTGTAACTTTTATTTTAAAATGATTAAATTTTCAAAAGAGTTGAAGGAAATGTACAATGAACACCATTGAGATTCAACACCCATTAGCACTGTGCCATGTTAGCGTGAAAGAATGTGAGTGTATGCGTGTATCTATGTGTGTGAATGTGTACATTTTTCCTGACATTTTTCATGATACTTAATTACAGTGACACGATGAGTCAGAACTGACTCAATGGCACTTAACAACAACAATCTCTAAGTACTTTAGAACATACTGTCTAAGAATAATGACATTTTCCTACACTCCTACAACATACAGCTATTATGCCTACGAAAATGAACACCATTGATCTGTATCAATTTGGGGTTAGTATCCAACGGGAAAAGATCCTATGATGTGTGACCAATGGAATTAACAGGAATAGCTGGTTTTGCAAAGAGATGATTGTCAATTATTTTAAAGGATTATCCAAGTTCAAGGCAACACTAGACCCATGTAGTTAATGGCTACTCCACACACACCAGACTCATTAATGCAAACAAAATTAAAATTATGTATGGAAATACCATATTATGTCTAGTCTTTCTTTTTCTTCAGGTGCTTTTTGAAAGACTCAAAAGAGCAAGCTTTAAAATAATCCCAACCTACAAGAGGAAGCCAACAAGATGATATCTCCTGGGGAAGTGAACCAAAAAGCAGAAAATGAGGCAGAGAAAATAGAACAGAGATCCATCTTCCATGTAGTAAGTGGAAGAGGTATACTTCCTCTCTTCTCAATTTTCACTTATTCCTTACTAAGAAGGCTAGTTCCTGAGTTGGCCAGAAGAGCTTAAGAGCAAATAGCAGAAATGACCCTACTCATGAATGAGAATTTGAATTTAAAAGGCTTCATAACCTGGTATTGGTGGTTATGAAGAAGGAAATGGTAAAATATTTCAGACTAAAACAATATGGGGAAAGTTTCAGCAAACGTTCCAGAACAGACCAGGTCAGCAAGCTAGGCCAGCATTCCTCATCCTGTAGTGTTATAATACACTCAAGCATCCTCAAGCCTGAATAGCAAGGCAGAATGAAGCTCACACAAGTGTTACTACAAATATTGCTATAAATATTCCTACGAAGATAAGAAATCAAATTTAGTTCTTGGGCCAATTCAGATTTACACACCAACCATTAATGATATAAGGAGCTCTGGTAGTGTAGTGGTTATGAATCGGGCTGCGAACCTTAAGGTCACCAGTTCGAAACTACCAGCTGTTCTGCGGGAGAAAGAGGAGGCTTTCTGCTCCCATAAAGATTTACAGCCTCGGAAACCCTGTACAGGGTTGCTATGAGTCGGAACCGACTCCACAGCACATAATCAACCAACCAACCATACACATGGGAAAAAAATCACCTGCATCTGTGGAAAGAGAAGAGGGAGAAGCTCAACATCATCAGTAAGAACAAGGTCAAAAGCCAACTGCGAGAGAGGCCATCTATTGCTCATATACAAGTTCAAGTTAAAGCTTAAGAATATGAAAACAAAGCCACAAGAGCCAAAGTACAACCTAAGTATTGTTGTGGTTGTTGCTAAGTGCCATCGAGCTAGTTCCAACTCATAGTGACCCTGTATAGGGTTTCCGAGTGGTGGCTGGTGAGTTTGAACCACCTACGTTGCGGTTTAAACTGACCTTGAGTATTCCACCTGAATTTAGAGATCAATTCAAGAATAGATTTTTAAGTGCTGAGAACTAATGACAAAGCACCAGATAAGTTGTGGAATGATACCAAGAACAACATATATGAAGAAAACCAAAGGTCATTAAAAAGACAGCAAAGAAAAAATAGACCAACATAATGTCTGGGACTCTGAAACATGCTTTTGAAAAATACTTAAGCAAAAGGAAGATGCAGTAAAAGAGCTCAACAGAAGATTTATAACAGTAGTTCAAGAAGACAGAGCAACATTCTTCTAATGAAACGTGCAAAGGTCTGGAGTTGGAAAACCAAAAGGGAAAATCACACGCGACATTTCTCCAGTGAAGTAACTGAAGAAAACACTCAAGCCTCGAGTTCTAATATTAAGCATAGTGGTTACAAACTGGGCTGTTAATCTTACGGTCAGCAGTTTGAAACTACCAGCAGTTCCGTGTGAAAAGGTTGAGGCTTTCTCGTGCCGTAAAGATTTAGTCTTGGAAACCCTGAACAGGGTTGCTATGAGTTGTAAGAGACTCCACAGCACATAACCACCATGGACAAAATGGAGTCCAGGTGTAGCACTGTAATGATAAAGCACGGGACTGCAAGGTTGGCTTGAAACATAAGGTTGGTGGTTTAAGCACACCAGCCACTCCTTGGAAGTGCTATACAGGTTGCTGTGAGTTGGAATCAACTCATGGGCACTTAACAACAATGGACAAAATAATAAATGATACAGAAAGTATCAAAAGAAGACATACTATCCAGAGTTGCTGTACCAAAAATAACTGGTCAATGTTCAACCGTTTCAAGAACTGATGGTATTGAAGGAAGAAGTCCAGGCTGCAAAAAGACACATGTCTGGGAACAAATCAATGGTGATGTTTCAACAAATGAATGCAATGCTGGAAGTACTCATCTATGCCAAGAAATTTGTCAGATAGCTAGTTGGTGAACCAAATGTAAGAGACCTTATTTGTGCCTATACCATGTATTGCCAGAAGAACAAATCCATCTTGGAAGAAATATAGTCAAAATACTCATTAGAGACAACAGCAAGACTTAATCTCACTTTGGACATGTTGTCAGGAAAGAGCAGTCACTAAAGAAGGACATCATGCTTGGTAAAGTAGAGTCGATGAAAAAGGAAGAACCTCAATGAGATGGACTTACACAGTGGCTTCAACAATGGCCTCAAACATAGCAACAACTGTAAGGATGGAGCAGGACCAGGCAATGTTTTCTTCTGTTGTACATATGAATTTGAATATTCAATATTCTTCACAACACCTTAGTTCAAAGCCTTCAATTCTTTGATCTTCCTTATTTATTGTCCAGTTTCCCCATGACATGATAGAATTTTGCAAGACCAATGACTTCTTCAT